GTAATAAACACCTGGAAGAAATTTTGCTTCCTGAATAAAAGCTAGTTTTTAAATCATGAAGTAGATTTCAAAAAGATGGTGTTAGGCAAACGTGTACTTTATATTGCAGGAGGAAGGTGATCAGTACTTGGCAAAAGCATACAGAAATCATCAGAAATTGAAATGTTTGTCTTTGGATTTCATTTCCTTGATTAGGATCTATCAAGGATATTGCTGCTTTCGCTGGAAATGTCCTCTGTTTATATGAAAGTAAAATTCATGGAGTCATGCAAGTTAGAAAGGACCGCCAGAGATTTTCTAGTACTATCTCCTGCTCAGAGCAGGTCTAGTGACACAAACTAAAACTGAACGCTTGGTGCTCTCATAATATATGTGGCTTTGCAGTAGAGCAGTTAAGTGTAATCCCTCTTCGTTTTCTGGTACGCATTCGATGGCCAGAGTTCAGATTTTGAACAACTAAGGTTTGAAGATGGGTATAGGTTTTCATTCTGCTACCACCTTTAGGAAGGATTTTTTTGTTGTTGTTCACTTCTGTGTAATTCTTTAGTTAATTTTAATAAAATCTCCAAAGTTAGAAGAAAAAACACTCAGATAAACAGTAGAAGTCAACAACATAGCAATAATTCATCTCTGATTTTTTATCTTTCGTTTTATTTTTTTCCATGGCTTTAGCAATCTGTGGTGTATTTTAGTTTTCTGTCTCCTCTTTTTGATAACTTCAACTGATCAAACTGTGTATATAATAAAATTCTAACCCTGAGAAACAAATTTTCCCCTCATCTCACTGAAACATGAGTGCATCAGTTTCTCTCCATATCTGAATACTTTGGTTGAGCTTTAGCTTAGAACCTCAATACTAATCAAAATATAACAAGATCTATATATAAGGCACAGTACTAGACCATCTTGTATTCTAATGTGTGTGTATATATAGTACTTTTCATTTTTAACACAAGAAAATGTCTGCTCTTTGTAAGACAAGCTGTGTCACATCACTCAGGAGAAGTGGGAGGTCTCAGAAATCAAAAAAGAGGGGACTAGGGATCGGTTTTGCTCATATTATAAAAGTATTCTGGATAGAAATATACCAGTGAAAATACTCTACCTTGACTTTTTTTTTTTTTTTTTTTGGTGACAACCAGTTTCTGTATTGGTATTGCTAATGTAGTCTCTTTAAGGACAAAGCCAGCTCCAGCCATTACTTGTATGTCACTATTTTCCCTTCTTTCCCTTTTCAAGCTAAAATGAATGAGATTCAGGGTTTTGATCACATACTGTAGTGTTTTTCAGTGGACTAGTCAGACTGATGAACCACCAGCGGCTGAAATATCCATTGTGGATTTTAAAATTGTTGAAGTAGTTTTTAAGTAAATAGCAGAGTAAAAAATGAATTCAAATAATTTTATCAACCTCACAGCAGGGAAATTAATAATCTTCTGCACTAAAATTCAGCACAGAAAGTATCAGGTTCAGAGATATGTGGAAGCAAGATGTTCTAATAGGAATCTGCATTTAACCTTATTTATAAGTACTTGTCATCAGCAAAACCTGTGCTCTATTAAATAGTCCATTGTTTTCATCCAGACTCTCTTCAATCCCCTTCTCTCTGTTTTCTTCTCTCTATGGTATAGTTGTATCCTTGGTAAACCACACAGGCAGAAACAGCACCCGTTTTTCCCACCCATTGTCTGTGTATTTGTGCACTGGATCTTTCTTCTGCAGTTTCTACCAAGAGCAGCAGTGAAAGCCCAGTTCAGCTCATGCCGTGGTACAGCTTTTTCAAGCTTAGCTACTGCTTGCCTATTCAAATAGCCAGAAGTCTGGCATAGCAGAGCTGGCTTTATTTGTTGAGTCTTGTCTAGTGAAGTGAAAAGGGCTGATTTTTTTTTTTTTTTTTACCCTGCCTGCATTTTTGCACATGTGGGGGCAGGGAATGAAATTATTTCTTTTGTCCTCTACTTGCAGCTCATTGAGAAGCAGGCATGCATATAAAATTACTGTATCTCAGGGCTTACCTTTAGGGAGAGGAGGGGGGAAAAGCAGATTTGTAGCTTCTCTGGAAATGCTGAGGATGCTGACAGCAGGCCACAAAGTGGAAGGTAACAGAATAGTAAAACACAATTAATAGGAGACTAAAAAAATCCTTTCAAATGAATATAACAGCAGTTCAATTTCGTCCCTTGAAAGAAATACCACGTTATGGGGTGTATCAAGCACACAAAAAACTGTTAGGTGTGTCCAAGGCACAAAACACAGAGATATAGTTTTGGAAAGTCACCACAGAAATGATATAACAAATATCTTTTTCTGAGATATTAAATTATACATGCAAGTAAAGGGAAGTTATCTTGAGGGGTGGACTTTGGTAAAACACAATCCTCTTTCTCTCTAGGTTTAGTTTACACCCAAGTGGATCAATGACTACTAATTAACCTACGTCTCAACTTTCAGTAAGGTTTTGTGGCTTTTTTTGAACTACAAGTTTTACTTTGCATTCTACCTTCCTATGGTAAAGCTAAAGTTTTCTCCAGTTCTCCAGCCTGTGAACTTTGCTTTGTGTAGCATTAATGATTCATATGATTTGTAGTGGTTTTAACTACCTGTGAGTATAAGCATTGCTGTGGACTTTTGGTCTTTTGAAGTGTAGGGTTTGGGCTTGTTTGGGCTGGCTGACCAGTAACCTGAATGTAGCTTCAGGGTAACTCTTGCATTCTGATCTTTTGCATGTTTAGGATATTTTGGTTAGAGAATGGAGTGAGGTAGGAAAGGAGGTTTTCAGAATAGTCCCCAGATGCTAAAAAATTGGTTTGGTTGCAAAAGTAGTTTATATACTCAGAGGCCTCAACAGCTGGGATTAATTAATGGTGTTTCTGGAATGTAAGATGTTATTGGTATATAGCAATATGTTCATTATTCCTAAAGTAATGGTTTGTTAAAGTTGCAAATGTTAAGTATTAGACACGAATATGATTTAGTCAGATAGTTTGCTGAATATACTTGGAAACAAATACAGAAAGTTCACTGAGCTTAAAAGAAGTCTAGTTTGGAAATCCATGGATTTTAAAATACATTGCTCATTATGGTTACTCTTCTGTACTACATGTGCAAACTCAGAGCTGTGAAATGAAGAATTTACAGAAACCCATCCTTTGACCTCCAACCTAGTAATTTATATTAAACCCTTACAAAAATATGAAAAATTTTAATTTAAACTAGAAGAAGTTTGAGGGGTCTAGGGATACATGGATACCATTATACAGATTTCCACCTTGTATATGAACAGAGCTGTTAGTGCTGGTTTATATATTTATAAAGTGTATTGCTACTTTCCTACTAAAAATTATACAAACAACAGAATTTGAATGTTACTTTGAAACTTTCAGCAAAGTGAGTAATCCGAACCTTGACCTCTGAGATAAGTTTGAAGTTCTTTAACTTAACTGTGTTGTCTTTAATGCAGTTTTTTCCCTCCAAACTCTAGTTAGCTGACCTTAATTTTAAAGCAATTAAAAATGTATAAACTGTTGTGCTGGCAAGAGCAGGGCTAGGAAGAAGCTGTGAAAGCTGAAAATTATGAAAGACTATGAAAACAGAAAAGCTCATTCTTGTAATAGGATAATTTTCACTTGACTGGAAGACATGGGTGCAAAATCTGCCTGCTGGCCATGGAACCAATAGGCACAGAAATTAGTATTTTGGTTATCAGTGTATACATCTAACAACTTAATCAATGCTGAGTAATATTTTACCCTTATTCTGGCAATAAAGACCATCTGCCTATAAGTAAGAATGGCAAAATCTGTGGTTTGAGGATAAGAGATGGGAAGATGTGGCCACTTGCAGTCCATATAATTTTCACAATTTAGCAATACATACGCTGATTTTTTTTTTAAATTAATTTCCTGTAAGTCTCCATTTCTTGAGATGAGGAGACAAGATACACTCAATTGAAACAGTGAAATGAAAGCTCATAGTTCTTTAAAGTCTTGCAATTTTTTTCCAGAATGCTTTTTATAATGTTAATAATGCTCATAACTATAAATTCGTTGGTTCTTCATTGCCTGAGTTCTGTGAAAAACACAAGCTAAACAAAATTAGTCTCACAGAGTAAAAATTAATTCAGAAAAGATAGGTGTTTCATTCCTTCTGTATCCTGTTTTGTGATAGTAGTTTTGAAGTTCCTTGTTATTTCTATAAGTCTTTGGACTTTTGTTCTAACAACTTTGTATACTAGAACACATTAATATTTCTGGCTGCCCACTGTATCAAAACAAATTTCATACTCCCAACATATTTAAATGGTGTCAAAAAGTAAGTATTATACTGTTTATAAGTAACTTCTAATTGGCAATAATATCCTCAACTTGAAAAACATAATCTGGTACTGCAAAGTATACTGTAAGAAGTGATGTTTTTGATGAATAGACATGTTGAATGGTTTCCAGAGATCTTTCACATGCAGTGAATCTTACATTCCCTTTTGGTATTCAGATTCTCTCCTGCTATAAATTTCATTAGAAGTGATCTTATTCACACAGAGAACAATTTGGCTACTGAGTCATGTGTTTTGATGTAAAGCTTGGTAGTATCAATCAACTGAGCTTCAGAGGAAGCTCTTTTCGGTTTCTAAAGCAAAAAAAGCTGCATGAAGTTTTTATTAAATACTGTTGGAGAAAAGTGAGCAAAATAAATATTTTACACTTAGTTTCAAACTGCATATGCAGGAAAGCTGATTTCATAGTGAGAAAAAAGAAAGGTAGTATTTCTTTCCAGTTTCAATACTTCAAAAATTTTCTGCAGCTTCATATTCTTTGTGTTGAGTGTACATCACTTCAAAACAAAGTCTTTTGCTTTTATTGTTTCAGAAGTACCAAGAGTATTCATCAGAAACAAAATTAAATAAAACTATTCACTACTGCTTTGTGTATGGATTTTTGTGAACTTAATTAAAATATTCGAGGAATTTCAAATTTATTTGTTTTATTTTTTCTTACCCCCAGAACCAACTTATATCACAATAGGTCCACCCACCTGTGAGGCTTTGGTGAACTGCACTTTGACTGAAAAAGACTGTATCTATAGCTTCAAGCTGGACCAAAATGGTTGTCGCATTTGTCAGTGCAAAACCAGTGAGTATGCAAAAATACGGTGGCTTCTACCTTTTATTTCAAGCTGTATGTTAAAATGCTAATATGCTGGGGTTTTCCATTCATAATGTTGACTATATGTTGTGTTAGTATGTACATGCTTTAAAGTTGCTCATCTGTAAAGAACAGGCTCCTGATTTCTGGCATTGCTTACTTGCTTAAAATTTGTTTGGAGGAAAACATGTAATGTTTGACTTAAGGTAAAAAATTAGCAGCTGGGTAGAAAAGGTAATAATTTGGCACTTAATATTCATTCAGACTCTGAGAAGTCTAGTCAGACTTCCACATTTCATTTTCCTCTGTGTATGTAAAGAATTTCAAGAGCATGTAGGCTTGTGCACTTCAGAAACTTCTATTGCTAAACAGCCTATTTTCAACTTAGTTTTTTCATCAAAACTTAGATTTTGAGGATAAATGTTTGAAAAGTATATACAGGGGGGAATGAGTGTTTGTATATATACAAGCATATCCATATTAAAATTTGTTTCTATAACATATGTTTATATTATATACATATATCTTCAGTTAACATTTACGTAGGTTTTAACATTTATTTCTTCCCCAAGGAAAATTATTGTGCCTTGTGAGAACTTTGTATGTATCAGCAAAAATGTATTTTCTGTTTGTGTTTCCTTAAAAGTTCAATATTTTTGGAAGAAATATAAAGAAATATCAGGTTGGTTTTTGGAATTGGCCAACAAAGGACACCTGTGGAGTACTAATCTTAGCTGCCAACCCAGCCTAGGAGTGGATGGAAACTCTCTTTCTAATGTTATTGTAATTTTGCAGCTTTCTCGTGGCATCTAAGGTTTACACAACTAAAGTATTACTCCATTCCCTTCCTTTGATTTCAGTCCACCCGTTTGCAACCACTTTCTAAACCAGCATGACTATTTTAGGGGTCCCCAGTAGATTTGGTCGAAAGAAAACTCTTAGTTGGTAGAAACTAAAGAGTTTTAGGATTGGATTAGTGTTCTGCTAAAGGAGCAAAAAAACGGGTGTCCTGGCTTTTTTTTTTTTTTTCCCCCTGGGGAAATATGCATTCTTTAATTCCATAAGGTAAAGGAGAAGACATCTTAATAAAACTAAATATGCGGTAAGCAATAATGTTATCATGGTAATACAGAAATATTACTTTTGATAAGTTGTATTTGTGGAAGGATGACTCTCCATATATTACGTCCAAACTGTCTTGAATTACATGCCTTACTTAGTTCTTCTGAAGGACAAAATTAGAAATGTTTAGTTCTGCTTTTAATACGGTAATTTGATTTTCCTTCTCCTTATATTATTACTAAATTGACTGGGGAGTTTGACACAAACAAGATGGACATAGTTGGCAAATTTCATCATCTATACCTGTGTGTAGTCCTTTCTTACAGTTTGGTGCACAAGAGACACATCACTCCAAAGGATCATTTCTTTTTATCCTAGATTACCTGGCTACACACATACACGTACCCCATCCCAGGAAATTTCTGTTCTTGCTTGGAGTATTTCTGATTAAATAGTGCATAAGAACCTATTCAAGAGAATTTTTTTCTTGCTAGATTTGCTTGAAATTATTTTCATGGTACAGTAGCAAACTATGTGGAGCAAGCTTAATAGTATCATTTGTCTGTCATCTTTCTTTTCGGTTAAATAATGTGACTAGTAGATTGCTTAAGAATCTCAGTCACTGAGTGAAGGGAAACCTTTGTTTTCTAAAGAAGTGAAAATAATAGCTTGGAAGTCTTCATCTTTCAGTGGTTATCAATCAGAATGACAGAAATTGAATTTTTCTGTCAAGTAATGTCTCTTGCTTGCAAGGCTCTGGACAAATGAGTGTACGAGAAATGAGAAGAAAGGAGGTTTAGGTCAAATGTACTGAAAATATACTGCACTAATTCTCTGCATTTTGAGATCCTATGTCCAAACCTTTGATGTCCAAACCAGTTTAGTTGCATCTTGGCTCTCTTAAGAATGTGAGAATGTGTACTACCTTTAGCTCATGAAGACTGATGTGGACTTTTGGGAATATCACTGTCTTTATACTGCACTGACTTGTTTTTTGCTGGTCTAAGCTGCTCAACAGAGTCAGGTTTAAAGTGCCTGAGTAAAGGAATCCTCCCTGCCTCTTGTTACCATCTGAAGTCATCATATCCTAATTCTACTAATCTCTTTCCAATAAAGTTTCATTTTTTACTGATTTCTCTTTAGATATCTCTGCTGAAGATTATTATACTTCAGTTTATTTCAGCCAAAATAAAAGCAAAAGGACAAAGTGAAAGAACATAGAGTGAAGATGTAATTTTTTCTTCATTATTACCTTCATTTACATTCATTTATCCAGAAATAAGTACAACAGGTTTATTTGGAATAATTATATAAGTACAATATCATGAAACTTGTTTGGTGCTTTACAGTAATTTAGTTTCAAGTTTATCCAGCCTGATTCAAGCCAGCTACAGAATGAGAAGGATGAAAGAAGCAAATCATAACATTTCTAGGATATGATATCAATAGAAGTAGTTTTCTTTGTCTTTTGTTCTTCTTCCTGTTTTTGCAGTGAATGCAAAAACATGCGGGAGCAGCACACACTAAAAAAAACATACATACTGTAAAGTAAAATAAAATAAAATATTAAAAAAAAAAATAACAAAACCGAACCACAGTCATAAGAAAAAGGAGCAAAAAACTATATTGAGCAAAGAGTGAGCATAGGTAGATATGGGGAAGAAAGTTCCAATGAGTAGAGATGGAACCACAAAAGATGAGGGAGAAAGAATGATCATACTGACCAGAAGCACATATAAGCCAAAGCAGCAGTACAGGACAGTAAAAGGTAAAAGGTATAATTGAGGATTTAGTAAGGACCACTGCAAATACCAAGAATAAAACTAAAACAAGTAGAAAAACATGATATATAAGATGATACAAGAACAAAAAAACAGTAAATAAGAAAAAAATTGAGGTTTGTAGTTTGCAAGTGATTGCTTTTTGTGTGTCTAGGCCTTTGCTTTCATAGGGAGAACTGGAGTGGATTAAAGTCTTTTGGAGAAATAGTACATTTGGAGGAGTCTTTGTGGAAGACCAGTGATTGTTTCTGAGGCAGCACTCTTGTTGCTCCAAGGAAGACTAATGGGTCAATTGAATAATGCCTGCTGATTACAGTAATAGAGGATTTAAAATCTTGTAGTTGCTGCTGGACATTGTCATTCTTCAGTGAGAGTCTGAAGTCAGGGCCTTGTCTATTCCCTGTATAAGATTAATGGAAAAGAAAAAGCCATTAAAATCTCTCCTGCGACTGAGACTACAGTGATTTACCCCAAATGAATTGAATGTGAAGTACTCTTCAGGGTATAACTCTGAGCTTGTATGACTTTAGTATTTTTTTAACTTTTCAGATCTTACTAAAATTGAATTGGAGTGCTGCTGTCAATTTTAAAAATTTGTTGCTTCATTTAGAAGGCTTACCTTTGCAGTTCTAAGATGCAACTGTCATCCAGTTTCATTAATTCCAGACTGCTTATGGAGAGATGCAGTTGTAGAAGGCTGAGATGAGTCATTTTCCCTGGACATTATAATGCATCATCATCCACTTTGTGTCATGGTCTCTTTCATCTGTCCAAGCAAACCATTCAATAACTACTCAAAAATTAGAAATCTTTGTATATTATGTGTTTGCACAGTTCTCTAGGCATGATACCACCCTTTCCCCAAAGCAGGGTCTAGCTATATATGCAGAAATATTTTTTTCAGAAGAGTGTTAATACCTTTTCCTTAAATGAGAAGAAAATGTTTGCTACTATGGAGTTAAAAAGGAGGTGCTATCATTCACTCTATACTAGCACACACCTGAAGCATGGTCTTCAATATTCTGGCAAGTTACACCATCTCCCTCTATAGGTGATGAAGCAGAATGAAATTCCAGCATGGACTTTGGGTTTGGCAATGTGGGACTTCATTTAGTTGTGTAGACATTCAAAGGCAGGATTGGAAGGTTTGACAAAAGGTAGGCAGGTGCATCCACATTTTTCTGTTTTAGTATTCATTATCTTCCAGTGTTACTTTGATTTAGTAACAAATTCCATAGAAAATAAAAATTATAAAATAAAATGTAGTCCAGGTAGTCTCCCTTAGTGCAAGGAGAGTGCATACTGGATTTTTTGAATAATTTTGTAGATAGTAAAAGGATGTCTTTTTCTTCTACAGTAATGTGAAAGGGAATAGCTATTCCATATTAGACCTCATTTAATGAAATACAGCCATGGAAAATTTGGGATGAAGCATGTTTACTAAAAATTTAAGGCTTAGGTCAGAAAAAAGTACATGCTTTAAGTAGAATAGAAATATTAGCTCTTAAGTACACATGTGCAAGGTAGTAGAAGTGCTCCCTGAAGAGGATTGAATTACGATGAACTATTCATGCCAAATAAATATTACCTGTCTTCTCATTAGAATAAAAGTCTTTAGCAGGATCTCTGAAAATTACAATATACTGGGTTTAGTAATGCTTTAGTACAGTAAGAGTAGATAAAAACTTCACTTGACATGTGAAAGGGAAAAAAAACCTACAAATCCAATGTGCTTGAAACTTGATCATTCTCCAGTAATTCCACCTTTGAGATGTCACTGCTACAATTCCATTTTCATGAATTCATGTGTTGTATGTGAATCCTAGAGTTGTTTAGACCAAGTATTCAAGCCATTAATTTGCCTCAATGGACTCATGAGATGATTTTTTTAAACAGGGTTTTCTAGCATCACAGCGCCCAGTCCCTTCATTTTTATCCAGCTTTTGTGAATCGTGAGTTAATTCTAACAAAAGGAGGGAGGGTTAGTGTGGATCTGTGGAGGCAATATATTCAGAGAATTCCAGTTACTGATAAGTAACCTAGTTTTCTCCTTCATAAATTTGCCTCCCCAGATCCCCACCCCCGAAGATTAACCAGCAGTAGCAATCCACACCGAGAGGACGGCTGAGGAGTGCTTAATTATAA